GAACGGCCAGAGGAAGCAGGTCACCAAGAAAGACAAAGGTGATGCATTAGCCTGAGGGAGAGGTGCAGGGCTTGATGTTTGACTGGCACCACACGGGACCTTGGGAATCACCAGGTACAACCCCTGACGTCCCTGAACACTGCTGGGATGACCCAGCCACCCCAGTTCCACAGGACCTCAAAATACAGCATTTGAGGGCCCCGGCATTCAACCACCAACCAGGCTGAACAAGAAAACAGAATGGGAACTCTCCTACCCCACTCCCCCATTAAAAAGAGGCCTTGGATTTAATTCAAGGCAAGGATATTACCTTTGAGTAAAAAACAACAGATTCTCGAGTTCTCCAACGCCACATTTTCCCCTCCTTGTAGACTATTAAGTGCATAATTGAAGGACAGAGGTGACTTAAGTGTCTGTGGATATGGGACGGGGGAGGAGCCGGCCCTCTCCTTCCCCCGCCCCGATGGGACTCTGAGATGATATCCCCAAATTGCCCCCAGCTACTTATTAAGCTCCTACATGGCCAAGATCCAGACACACACACATGAATCTCGGAACCGAGCAGCTTGCTGCAGAGATCTCTCCAGAACCTAATTATTAAAATTTTAGAATTCCTAGAGCGGCCGCACGACATTATATGCTACCCATAACAAGCAATACAAAACAAACCGTCTAGCATTGCCTTTTCAGCAGGTTTGAGTGGTGATGGGACCGGTGTGGAAATATTGAAAGTAATCAAGTAGGGAGAGTATTGTGGGTATTGTCTCCATACAGGCAGGGGAAGGGTTGGAATGGGGATGAATACTGGGGATTTTGGTGGTGGAAAATGTGCACTGGTGAAGGGATGGGTGATTGATCATTGCATGACCGAAACTCAAATATGAAATCTTTGTAACTGTCACTGTCACTGCTGTCACTGTCCTCCCATTGTTCATCAATTTGCTTGAGTGGGCCCAGTAACATTCTGAGACTTGTTGTTACTGTGTTTGGCATATTGAATATGTTTGTAACTGTAAAAAAAAAGGAAAGAAAAGAAAAGAATCTGTGGGTAGGGCTGGAGAGGATACTAACAGTGGGGAGGGGATTGTCTTGCACACAGCCAACCTGGGAGGAATCCCAGATATTCTACAGGGTGATCTAGCACTGTCAGGGTGATTCCTGAGTGGAGAGCCAGGAGTAACCCCTGAGCATCGCTGGGTGTGGCCCCAAAACAAAACAAAATGGAAAGAATTTGTGGATAGGCTAGAGAAAAGATGAAGGTATTTGTTTGCCTGGGACGTGGCCAAGCCCAGTTCAATCCCCAACACTGCTAAGCCCCACTAGAGTGATCCCTGAACACAGGCTGAGGGGTGGCCCCAACTTTTCCTCTCAAAATAATTCATGGGGGGGCAGACCAATAGTAAGCATTACCATTGGCCTTGCACACGGCCGACCCAAGCTCCATCCCCGGCATCCCATATGGTCCCCCAGGCACCACGAGGAGTAATTCCTGAGGGTAGAGCCAATTCCTGAGCATCACCAGGTGGAACCCAAAAAGAAAATAAAAATCCTGGCGGGGAAGGGCATCCCTTTAGCGAATCCCCCTGGGTACCTTGCCATGCTCCCCCTCCTGCTAGCTTCCCCAGCCCTGGCACACCCTGTGACAGCTCAGAATGGATGCCTGTCTGTACTTACTTCTGCCCCGTTCTACACTCAGGGATCACTCCTGGGGGTGCCTGGGGGACCCCAATGGGGGGCTGGGATCCAATTTGGGTTGACTACATGCAAAGCAAGGGCCTTCCCTGCTGTCCACTTTCTCCAGGCCCTGGGACTGGATTGATAGCACAACAGGAAGGGCCTTGGCCTTGCACGCAGGTTCGATCCCCAGCATCCCAAGGGACTCCCAATCCCTGAGTGTTCAGCCAGCACCTGAGCATTGTCAGGTGTGACCCAAGAAGAAAAAAAAATGAAAGAAACAACAACAATCTCTCCAGCCCCAAATTTATTGGGGATGGTGGATCTGAGTTTGGGGGCACACTTGGCCGTGTTCAGGCCTCACTCCTGGCTCTGTGCTCAGGGACATAAATCACATTGACTGTGAACCAGAGTCAGCTGCATGCAAGATCTCACACTCTGTTTTTTCTTCGGCCCTCCATTTATTTTTTCTTTTCTTTTTTTTTTTTCTATTTTGTTCTGTTTGGGGGCCATACCTAGCAGTGCTCAGGGGCTATTCCTGACTCTACACTCAGGAATAGCTCCTGGCAGGTCTCATGAGACCATACAGTGTGCACAGGGCTACGGCTAACCCCTGGGCATTGTGTAGTGTGACCCCAAAAACCTAAAAACAAACAAAACAAAACAAATCTAGAAGTCGTATTTACACAGGAAGTGGGACTCCACTTAGTGTTAGTGTTAGCAATAGTGTTCTATCGCAAGTGCTGTGTTCAGGGTTGAGCCGCAATGCAGCAGGTGGGTCAGCTGACCCGGGCTCAACCCCGGCACATGGTCCCCTGAGCACGGCCAAGAGCATCTCTTCAGTGCAGAGTGAGGAGTAACCTCTGAGCACTTCCGGCTGTGACCCCCTCAAGACAAACAAAACCAACAACAGAGCACTGGGCTGCAGCAGGGGCTCCTGGGAAGGCCCAGCCCAGCCCACCACATCTGTCCTCCTCAGAGCTGGAGCCCAGTAAGCAGCAGAGCCCGGCCCAGGCTGTGCAACACCCCAAGGTCCACAGGCTCCCGGAACGAGGAGGGTCCCGCCCAGCAGGAATTCCACTTGACCCCTGACATCTGCCTCCAAGTGGTCAGGTCAGCTGGACCAAAGCTGAGCCTGGAAGGGAAGGCCTGGCTTGCTGAGCCAGGGGATATCGGTCTGCAAACAGTCCAGCCTGGGTTCAATCCCCGCCCTGTGGAAGCCCAGTTCTCCCGTCCTTCGGGCCGGAACACGGGCGCTTCTCAGAAGTGGAAGATGCAGTTCTGAGAAGGGCGGCCCGGAGCATGGGGCAGAGGAGAATGACCAGGGAATCAGAGAACAACGCAGCTGAGACAGCCGGGGCAGGAGCCTGACGCAGGGGCCGGTGGGGAACCAGGGAGGGGCTCAGCTGCCCTGCGGGGCCTGGATTGGTCCCCAGAAGCTCTGTAGCCACTGGATTTAGGCCAAAGCTGCCACCTTCGCCCTATCTCTTCTTGAATGTTTAGGCTTTTTATTATTATTCATTTTGGTTTGGGGGCACATGGGGGGTACTCAGGGCTTACTCCTGGCTCAGGGATCACACACACACACACACACACACACACATACACACACATGTGGGGGGGTGGAGTACTTAGGGCTAACTCCTGGCTCAGGAATCACACACACACACACACACACACACACACACACACACACACACACATACACACACTCTATCTGGTTTGGGGGCACATGAGGGGTACTCAGGTCTTACTCCTGGCTCAGGGTTATCTCACACACACACACATACACACACACGCACACACACACACCCTATCTAGTGGGGGGGGCACATGGGGGGTGCTCAGGGCTTACTCCTGGCTCAGGAATCACACACACACACACCAGTGGGGGGGGGGGGGCTCAGGACTTACTCCTGGCTCAGGGATCTCACACACACACACACACATATACACACACATGGGGGGGGGGGAGTACTCAGGGCTTACTCCTGGCTCAGGGATCACACACACATACACACATACACACACATGGGGGTGTGGAGTACTCAGGGCTTACTCCTGGCTCAGGGATATCACACACACACACATACACACATACACACACATGGGGGTGTGGAGTACTCAGGGCTTACTCCTGGCTCAGGGATCACACACACACGGGGCAGGGGGGGGTGAGGGGTACTCAGGACTTAACTCCTGGCTCAGGGATCACATACACGCACACACGCGCGCGCGCACACACACACACACACACACACACACACACACACACACACACACCTACTGTGGGGGCTGGGGTGGTCTGGCCGGTGTCAGATGACTGCCGGGCAAGCGCCTTGCCCACTCCCCTATTTCTCTGGCCCAGGGTTCGGACTTTTAAAAACCACCCGTGCATTTGGGGGGCGGGAGGACCCCAAACAAAGCTGGCTGGGGTCCTTGGCCCCTCCTGGGTTGCTTGGTTTTATTTTCCTCTTTAAAAAAAATACAACTTTTCAGGAGCTCCTGCCGGGAACAAGGCGACCGCCACGGGGCCCAACCCAGCCGGGCTGAGCCGGAACAGCTCCAAGGGGAGCCGCCCGGCCCAGGTTCTGGGGGCCGAAGCTGGTCCCTGAGCCCTGCTTGGGGGGAGAGTGGGAAGGGGCGGGGTACGGGGGGGGGCGGTGCGCACAGCGGCCTTCGTCTGGCAGGCCAGAGGGAGGCGAGGGGAGGGGAGGGGTCCTGGCAGTGCCGCGCCCGGCCGCGCGGGGGCGCCCACGGCCGAGGGGCTCCGGGGCCACCCGGGGTCTCGCGGCCACGTCCCCTGCGCCCCCTCATCCCAGACAGAGCGACCACAGGGTGACCCGCTGGGAGCGGGGGGGGAACACGAGAGGGGTACCCGGGACGGCGGGAGAACTCGCTCTGCCCCGTCCGTATGACATCAGCCCCCGGCCTACCCCGATCCCCGACCCCCGGACCCCTCCGACCCGCCGGCCGCGCGGGGGACGCAGGGTCGCCTCGCGGGGGGCGGGGGGCGCAGGGTCGCCGCGCGGGGGGCGCGTGCTCGAGGCGGCACGTCCCCCGGGGTGTGAGGGCGCCGCTCTCCCCTCCAGGGTCCGACACCGGTACGGACCTGAGCCCCCTCCCCACGTCCGCAAGCCCAGGGGTCGCGCCCCCCACCCTTCCCCATGCACAGCCCGCCCGGGGTCGGGGGTCGGGGCGGGAGGGAGGCGGCCGGCGCCGACTCTGGACGCCCCGAGTCGGGGTCCGGCCCGACGAGCGCCCGGGGGTCGCGAGCGCCGGACTCGAAACCCGGGAGAGCGCAGCGCGCGGACCCCCCCACTTACCGCACATCGCGGACGTGCCCGCTGACCGTCCACCCGAGCAGCGGCGTGAGCTGACCCAGCCACCCCGGGCCCTTATAGCCGGAGCGCCGCCCCGGGGCGGGTCCGGGGCGGGGCCAGGGTCTCGGGGGGCGGGGACTTCTCCGACCTGCGGCTCCCCATTGGCCGTCGATTGTCGTGGCAACCGGTGGGTGGGGCTCCTGCCGCGGGCGCGCTCCTGCCAGCTCCCCATTGGTCCGCCGTTGCCGTGGCAACCGATGGGCGGGGTTGGTGCCGCGTGCGCGGGGCGTTTCTAGGCTCGGAGTACACCGGGCGTGGGGGTGTCGGGATCGGGTGGACTTGGGTGTGGCCACTCCAGATGACCTCGAGGTCGCGAGCCCGTACTCAGATCTGAGTGGGCGCGAGACCCGGAGCCTGAGTCACAGTGTTCCAGACTGCCTAAGGGGCGTGACCCCGGGGGGCTGGAGCGGGGGCTCCCATGCACGGAGTCCAGTGCGTCCCTCAGGACCCCGGTGGGAGCAGGACACCGTGATCCTTCTTAGTATTTTGACTTCGGGGCCACACCCGGCAGTGCTCAGGGCTTACTCCTGGCCTTGCACTTGGGGATCACTCTTGGCAGCCTGGGAGGCCATATGTGGTGCCAGTAATTGACCCCTGTTCGGCCAACAGGCCTCTCTGTGCTCTCTCCCTGGCCCCATATTATCATCATTATTACTAGTCTGGAGACTGACTGCACCCCAGGGGTGCTGAAGCGCCATGCTGACAACCACTGATGGATGGCACTGGCCTTGTAGCCCTGGAAGCCTCTCCCCGACCTGCACTGGGCCTTTAACCCTTGTCCTTTGTGTGATCTTCCTACCCCCCTGGACTGGTCAACTGAAGAGAAAACCCAGGCCAGAACTAAGACAGGATGGGGGCAGTGGGGGCCAAGGGTGGCTAGACTGGAACCCAAGATTGAGTGTAGAACCAGAACTCAGAGGCAGGGTTCCCTGGGAGGGATCCTGAGATTCCCCCCAAAGCTGCTCCCTTTCTAGAGAAGCATGGGACCACCTCTCGAACTCGCCGCTGGGCTGTGCAGGCGAACCAGGCCCCCTCCCACAGCCCCCCAACGAGTCCCCCCCCCCCCCCACACACACACACTGGTACATCCTGGAGCCCAAATGCAGATAGGTGGTGACTCACCCAATCCTGGCCAACATGCAAGCTAACCCTCACCCCATCGACATGCTGGGCAGACCCTGGTCTCTGAGGCAGGTCATTGCTGACCTCCCGTTTGTGTATTTTGAAGCCATCTGCTGTTTTCTATTTTACTTGGGGGGGAGGATATTTCCTGAAATGCTAAACGGAGCTTACTCAGTGGTATTGGAGAAAAACAAAACAAAACATAACATTTCTTCTGATGCTATCTTGGTTTCCACAAGACTCTCAGGGTCGGGGGCAGGGGCCAGAGATGTGGCTAGTGCTCACTCAGGGAAACTGAAGTCCAGCTAGGAAGGAGTTTGGGAGAGTCAGCCAGTACGTGAGATAGCATGGCGGGGTGGTGAGCTACTGTCACCCAGCCCTCCCATCTATCATAGCAGGTTCCTTCCTTCTCTCCCTCCCTCCCTTCCTTCCTCCTTTCCAAGTGGCAACATGATATGTATTTCCCCACCACACTAGGGAAGCAGTAATACCTGAGAAGGACCCAGCCCTGGTCCTTCTGACCCTGAAAAGGTGTTTGGAGGCAGCCTGAAACTCAGAAAAATTGGGAGAATTTCAGATAATACAGGAAAAGGGGAAGAAGGATTCCCTGTGGACGGATGGGAGGGGCTAGCTATCCCCAAGGTGACAGCCGAAAGGAAAAAAAACCGGAAAGAAATGGTACAGATGTTGAGTTTGGATGAACGGGCTGGAGTGAGTGGCATGCCAGCGCCACATAGAGTTTTCTGAGCCCTGCGAGAAGCTGCCTGTGCACACAGAGGACACCAGCAGGGGTGCTCCAGAGCACAAAGCCAGAAATAGCCCTTAAATACCACCAGGGACTCCTGAGCACAGAGCCAGTAACAGCTTCTGAACACTACCAAGGATTGCTCATGAGCTCGGAGGAGCACTGGAGGAGGCGCTGCAGAGGCAGAGCAGAGCCGGGACAGCCACTGAGCACCACTGGGGGTCCCTCCTGAGTACAGAACCAAGCGCACCTCCAGGCTTAACACTGAAGTGTGCAGAAGCTGCTGCTCTGCTCCCCGCTATGTTTGAGGCACTAGGAAATGACTCCTATTGCTTGTAACCAAGAAGAGTTCATTTCCCGTGGGGGGATTCACACACAGTGCTTGGAGGTTATGAGGGCCACTCTCTGCAACTGGGTCAGTGGTTCGGTGAGAGCCCTTAGAGCTGGGGTTCTTCCGGGCCTGAGGTTCCAAGGAATTAACCTCCCCATCAGTGGTATTGGGGGGGGACCCAAGATGGTACCCAGAGGTGCACCGAGTTTATGAGGTACTGGGAATCAATCCCACATCAGGCGCATGCAAGATGTGCACCTTCTCCCCACGACCATCCCCTTGGCCCCACCACGTGGATGCTAAACTCCCGCAATGTGCTGAGGGAGGGATTTGAGCAAGCACTGAAGGAAGAAATGATGAGGAGAGAGTTCAAAGGTTGAGACTCTGGCCTGGCCTGAGAATGTGGCTACATTGTTCAAATCCCAGCACCAGGCAGGAGAGATAGAACAGCAGGGAGGGTGCTTGCCTCGCACACACCCAATTCAGGTTCGATCCCAGCACACCATACATTCCCTCAGACCCTGCCAGGAGTGACCCTTGAGCACAGAGCCAGGAGTCAGCTCTAAGCACCACTGGGTGTGGCCCCAAGTCAACGCCCCCTGGCCAAAATGCGAATACTCCATATGATCCAATTATCTGCTAAGAATTTATTTGAAGATTATTTTAAAAATACAAATTCACAGAGACATCTCTGCCCGTTGCTTATTGTAGCATTCTTGATGGGAACTGGGATCTGGCAGTAACTGGAGTACCCGTGGGAGGTAAGATAGGTAAAGAAGGTGTGGTTAGGGGCCAGAGAGACACGACAGTGGGGAGGGCACTTGCCTTGCTTGTGGCTGACCCAGGTTTGGTCCCCGGCATCCTTTATGGTTCCTCTTGCCCTGTCAGGAGGAATTCCTGAGAACAGAGCCTGGAATTACCCCTGGAAACCTTTGGGTGTGCCATCTCCCCAAAACCCCCGAATATGTGGTCAACATACACAGTGAAATACTACTCAGCTAAGTGAATGATTAGATTTTGCCATTTACAACAATACAGATCGACCCAGATGCAAATGCACATGTTGAAATCAGCCTTGTAGAGAAATATAATGATGTTTGACATCTGTAGGGGCTGGAGAGAGCCCAGAGGGCAGGATGCTGGCCTTGCCTACAGCCAACCTGGTTCAATCCCCAGCACCCTATAGGGGCCCCCAAACCTAGACAGAAGTAATCCCTTGGCTCAGAGCCAGGAGTAAAACTTGAGAATTGCTGGGTGTGACTCTAAATCAAACCCAAAAATCAATACTACCAGGTGTGGCCCTGACCATTGCTGCTATGGCAACCCCAAATGCCCACCGAACAAACAGAGAGCTAGATTAATGAGCTGGTTCACAGGCTTTGTAGACAGAATTCCCGAGATCACCCCTCTGTGCTGCGTGATTGTACAAGTTTTAAACTTGGAGTAGCCCCTGAGTACTGCCAGAGTGAGATAAAACTAGAGGGGAAAATGTCAGAAAAAAATCCAAATAAAGAAAATAGTGTAGGGACTAGAGCAAGAGTGCAGAGGGTAGGGTGTTTGTCTTGTATGCAGCCAACCCAGGTTTGATCCCTGGCACCACATATAATGCCCTGAATACTGTAGGAATGATTCCTGAGTGCAGAAGCAGGAGTAACCTCTGAGCATTTTCGGGTGTGACCCAAAAAGACACACACATACACAAACACACACACACACAGGGCTAAAATGGGAGATTCTACATAGGTGTTCTCTGTAAGGCCATCAAGATAACATGCCTAACTTTAGAGGGGGCATTTGGGCACCCGCGGCTCTCTCTGTCTCCCGGAATTGAGCCCTGATTAGTCAGCAGGGAGTTTTCTGGTCAGTCCCAGTGATGTTGTCTTTGGTCATCTTCCCTCCTAGTTGTGAGCTCATCTGTCAAAATGAGCCCGTTCTGCACCAGGACATTACTTAACTCTGGAATCATTTGCTCCTCCTTATCTTGTCTTCTTTATACACACACCGGGATCACTGCGTCTGCACATGCACAAATAAAGCGGATTTCATCTTTCATGCACTGTAACACTGTCCTCCCGGTGTTCATGGATTTGCTCGAGCAGGCACCAGTAATGTCTCCATTGAAGTTAAGCTCATCCTTCATATTTCAGATAAACCCAGGTGACCTGGGAAGACAGTCCACAGGGCTGAAACACACGTTTGCCACCCAGGAGTCCGAGTTCCCTTCCCGGCACCACCTGCTTCCTGAGCACTGCCAGGAATGACTCCAGAGCACAGGGCAGGGAGAGGCCTGAGAGCTTGGAGTTTTTTATTTCACAGATTTGGTAGTGCAAGAGTGAGATCCAATGGGAACTCCTTTTCTTTTTTTTTTCTTTTTTTTTTTTTTGCATCACACCCAGCAATGACACTCAGGAGTTACTCCTGGCAGTGCTCAGGGGACCATATGGTATTCTAGGGATCAGACATGGGTTGGCTGCGTGCAAGGCAAATGCCCTCCCCACCGTGCTATTGCTCTAGCCCCCCAGTGGAAGCTTCCAATAGCATGTGAAAACAAGAAGAAATGGAGGGGTGGTGCCCTTGAATCCCAACTATTTTGTTTTATTCTTTGAGTCACACCTAGTGCTGCTCAAGGCTTAGATTTGTCTCTATACTCAGGGATCCTGGCAGTGCTCAGAGGACCATCTGGGTGCCAGGGATCACACCGGGGCTGGCTGCATAAAAATCACCTCAGCTGTTGTACTATTGTTCTGGCTCCAAACCCCCCCTTTTAGGAGGGGCTCACGAACAGTGCTGAGGAGATGCAGATAACCAAGCAGTCTGTG